AAGCTTCTTGAGAGGTAAATTTGGTAAGTAAAATCCAGCTCCTTCCTGCTACAAATTAGGATTTCCCCTGCTTTTTCCCCTTTTTCAGACTTGGTGTTACACCCCATCAAAGGGACGCTTCACCAAGAACAGAATATTAGTTTTGACAAACAGAAGAAGCAAAATCAAAAACCTTGGTGTAATTTTTGTTTCTTCTGTAAGTACTTTGGGGTTCCTGCCTGATTCTTACACAGGAGAAAGACAAAAAGCATCTTTAAGACTCTTGATGAAGCCATGAAATCTTCTTCATAATTGACTCTACAGATGCCATGGGGATGAGCAAGAAGGTTCTAGGAACAGGTGGAGCTTTATTCCACCTGCCCAGCAGAGCAGAATGGGCAGTGGAGTAAGAGAATAATTGTGCTGGAAAGAATTAGGGGGAAACAGTGCAACTCCATGGGGTGTTTTGCAATCAGAGGCTGACAGTGGATCAGCTTCATGCTTTGATAATACTTTCCACCTGTGGAAAAGATCAAGTATTGACTTCCTTCTCATCCTTCCCATGTGTGTGAGGGCACACGCACAAAACTGGAACATCAGGAATCCATCAATGCCATCACACAAAGTTAACAGTGCATAACAAAATCCACAGATCTCGAAAAAACCTTCAAGGCACAGAAAAAAACATAAAAGAAACCAAATGAGGCTATGAAATTCCAAACACACTAAATAACAGAAATTGATGCAATTAGTGTCAATTTGACTAATCCAGCCCTTGACAGCTTTTCTGCCCTAAATAGAGCTGGCAACACACACTTTCCCACCAAGCCCTTCATTAAGGCTCTCCCAAGGGAAGATGCCAGTGCTAACAACTGACAGCACAGCAGCTGCTCATTGCTCACCTGGGCACTGCTCAGATCCCTGTGCCCTCCCATGCTGAACAAGGCCACCCTTCTTACTGCAGCCCCTTCCCTGGCTTCCTATGCCTTTCAACCTGCATTCCAAAGCAGGTTTTACACGGATAGCTATTAGAAAGCGCAGCATAAAATTTCCTTTATTTCCAAACGCTCTTTATTTTATGAATCTACTTGGAGTACACAGTGGATGGTAATTGCATGTGAGGTATATTAATTTTTGCAGCGTTGCTAATGAGAAGTTTATGGTTGGCTTCTTTCATAGCACTGACTGCAATATAAAATACTTAAAAGTAATTTATGTTGCCACTCAGGCTATGAAGGGCTACTGTTCCTCCCTTTCCCTTCCTGATCTACAGATAATAGTTGGCACAGGGAGGCATTTCATTCTTGGGACCATAATTCTCTGACCCAGTCTTATTTGCAGGCCTATAAAATGTAACATAAAGTATGATCTCTGTTATAATTAGAAAAATGTCTTGAATATGCAATCCTATTGCATCCTTAGGAAGATTCATCCTTTAAGCATCACTGCTGATGTTCTTCATGACTGGACACTTAACTAACTTATAAAAGTTAGGGCTGTTATCCTTGAACTGTGGTGACCAAGGCAGGTAATTTTGTTGCTGTGGTGGTCAGGAGGGATGGCACAAGTGATGTTGTCTAGGCTTGGCTCTTTAAGTCCAATATACAAACACTACAAAACAGCCTTACAGCTGCATGAAAAGCCACCCAGCCAAACTAAATATATGGCGAAGCACAGGACACCAACACTGGAGCCTCCTGCAGACACTGCAGTTCTTCAGGCCTTACACAGGTCGAGTTTTCTGCCCAAGAATTTCCCTCCTGGTGCACCAGGAAGCAGCAGTCCAGCAGAAACAGCAAGCAGGTCATTTCTTGGCCAACGTGGATCTCCAGGAGAAACACGACAGGAAAAATACTGGCTTTTGAAACCAGTTGAAGACTTTCATGGTGACAGAAACGCACAGAAGACTGCAGAAGAACACAGCACAGGTGTGGTTGAACTGTATTTGGTAAAACAGGGAATGGAAAGGTGTGACTGGCACAATAAAACGTGGTTTCTCTTCAGCAGGGAGGAAGGGAGAGAGACATTCATGCATTCCAGAAGGTAAACAGGGAATGATCCTTTGCTGCCTTTGCCTCCTGCTGCTCCTGTAATGCAAGAGCACGGGGAACATCTGTTGACACTTGCAGGTAGCACAGACAAGATGAACAGCAGATTAGTCTGTGGAAGAAAAATCCATCAAAGATGGATGAAAATATAAAGCTTATCAATTGCACTGCTTCAGGAAGTCCTTAAATTGTGTAGGGTTTCTCAGAGAAGCACCCCCATTTGGGTTAGAAGGGGCATTTAAGATCATTAAGTTTCAACCCCCAATGTGACCACACTTAATGTTTTTAAGAATTTTAACTGTCAGAATCAAGGGGCAGGCAGTGAAAATGTTATCACTACCGACACACCTGGCACTTCCCTCTGGGAGAGAACAGGCACAAAGGCATCTCTCGGAAAATAATAACACTTTATTTGATTTTTTTTTTGTTTGTTTGTTTGTTACATTATCATAAATGTTCTCTAGTCTCAGAAAACAAAGCCCTAGTTTGGAAAATAATGCACATACAAATCTCTTCTTACAGGTATTAAGTATACAGAAATATACAAAGATTTCTCTATTACTGTGATATATCATCAGAATGCCCCACATCCCACATTTTTTACTCAGGTCCACTGTACCGGTAAAGCGTAAACTACAAAGGTAACAAGCAACCTGAAAAAGACATGGTTTATATAATATAATTACATATATGTATATATATATATCTACAACAGTGCAAATATATCACAGCGTGCAGGCAGCGACAGTCTCTAGAGAAGCATAATAAAACTGATTCATAGTAATGCAAATGCATTACAGAAACAAGAGACAACAATGACATATTAGATATACAGAATATGCACACTTTAGCACGCCGATTTAAAATCATACCTTGCATTGACTCTTGCTTTGAAAACAAAAGAACCAAATGTTAAATAATTCAGTAACAGATTCAAGGGCAGTATCTCACAATAAGGTCAACTGACTCAGATAAGGTGTTTGACAAATCTTTACTGACACAGGTAAAGGCTTGGCTCCACTGCAGGATTTGTTGTCTTCTTTTTAGATATATCAGTGTAATCTTCTTAGATTTAATTTACTTTTACTGTAATTTAGGAGCATTTTTTACATATTTTTAAAAAATTGTTCAACAACTAATTCACATTTTTAAAGATTGGTACAATTATCACTGAGGTCAGGAAAGCTGGTTGCTGGAAGCAATAGAAAGGAGTTTGTGTAATGATTACCCTCAATGGGCTACTAAAATAAGCTACAATGGGGTCAGGAAAACAGACATCACAGATGCCACTGAAGTAGAAAACCGCATCAACATTAGAAGTAAAAACTTCCTTGTTGCCTTACAATCTGCTTAGAAAGACATTTTAAGGTTTTTTTTTTTTCTCCTTCTTGAAAGAGTAAAGCACACCCAGAGATCCAGCACATTGGGTATTTGGTAGCTCAAAGAAGTCTAAGAGTCATCCCTCCGCCTCTAACTATCCCTCATGGTTCCCAAGCAGCTCATTTTCCCACCCTCACGTGGATAGCAACCACAAATACCCAGCAGTAAGGACACAAGCAGTTGGTAGGCATGGGCTGAGCTGCATGAAAGCCCCCAGAAAGGAAATGGGTTGACAAAAACTTGTTTGGATTTTGAAGGCATAAACAACGCAGAGAAGAACGCAGGCTGAGCCATGGGCATGTCTTGTGCCAAAAGAGACACATTTTGACTGGTCACCCTCTGTTTTACTGTGCTGGCAACAGGTCTCAGCAGAAATCTAAACCTCTTACAGGAAAGTTCTACAGTTGACAGCTGCATAAGATCACCGTTCATCTTAAGACTCCAAAGTAACAAGAACACTGAAGTTACATTTTGTGCTATTACTCCTTCAAAAACGCTACTTGAAGAATGTACAGAAACAAAGTATTAAACAGAATTAAAATGAAACTTGCTGTGCTTGCACGCCCAATGTGCAACTTTTGGACTTGTAGTATGAAGAATGATACGTGGGGCTATAAAAATCACCCAGTGGGATACACTACAACAACCTCTTGTATTATGAAAATGGGTATTTAAGAGGAGAATAGCAGGAGATGATTCCTGAAAATTCTACTGCCCCTGTCCACTAATAGCAGAGCTGATGACTAACTTCAGTGACACTCAGCACTTAATTTAAGCACTCACTAGTGCTGTGTGGTAGTGTCACAGGCACCACGATGATCAGCCTGTCACAAACTGTTACAGAGGACATGACACAGTGTCATTTGCTGCCCACTTCTAGTTCCCAACAGCTTTTCACGTGATCATACTTTATAAATGCATCTCCACACAGAACTAAAGGAAAGAAATTCCTGAGCAATTGCACCCTGTCGGGCTGTTCTGGTAAGAAAATGGCATCCAGTAGAGGATGGAGATTCTCCTTAGTGCTGTATCTACAGAAACATTTTCACTGACTTTTACAGCAGGAGTCAGATAGAGTTCTATTTGGGGTTTGGCCCTTTTAACTTCTCACTGTGTAACCTCACAACATCCTTGCAGTCCTCCTGAGTTGCCTGACCCTTCTTCCAAAGCTGATACACTATTATTTTGTTCCTTGAGTTCCAGCCAAAGCTCTCTGCTCAACCAGGCTGGTCTTCTTCCCCGCCAGCTTGTCTTCTGGATTTCCTTCTTAAGAACCTCCAGCCTCCCTGGACATCTCTGCCCTTCAGGATGGCCTCCCAAGGGACTCTGCCAGCCAGGTTCCCAAACAGGCCAAAGGCTGCCCTCAGAAGTCCAAGGCAGCAGTTCTGCTGATCCCCCTCCTTATTTCCCCAAGAACCAGAAACTCTGTCATTTCATGATGTGCCCAAGACAACTTCCAGCTATCAGATCACCCACCAGTCCTTCTCTGCTCAGATCACCAGACTTCTTATAGAGTATTTCACCTGCCTCTTCACCCTGCTTGGGTGGTCTGCAACAGACTCCCAGCAGGGTATCTGCTTTGTTGCCCTTAGATCCTCAGAATCAAGAACATCCATCTAGTGTTGTGTAAAGAGGACAGGTAAGATCTCCTCTGTGAGGATCACTGGGGTGGCACAGGTCAGTATATGCCACACTTATTTCCAGAAAAAATGTTTCGTAAAACACTCATTTCTGTTGACAACACAGGCTTTGACACAAAAGCATCACCTGATACATCCAGTACTTGGACTCAAGTGTTCATTATCTCCCACTTACATAACCAGCTCTTCTATTACATGTCTACATATTCCTCTCTTTTAACAAAAATCAATAACTTGGGCTCCAAATTCTAAGAACTGAAGAGCATTTCAGCACCAGTCTTCTGTTACTCCCTTTGACCTATAAAGATGAAATTTTCTCAATTTCTTATGGGTAGAATCTGCTTTCCAAATCTTTTATTTAATTGTAAATAATAATGTTTCAAATAATTTTTAAAATCTTCCAAGGTGTTTCATATTATACGCAAGTTTTCCATAAAGAAAAAACAACAAAAAGAATATGAAGCACCTAAAGTCTTAACTGATGCACATAGTAACCAAAGTAACATGTCAAAACAAGTAAAAATATAATAAGGAGGCCAACAGGACACTAGAGTCTTCCTGCAATCCAAACAGAAATCATACATTCAGTCTTCAAGTGACCTTTAGAAACCTTTAGCCTCTTATGCAACTTTTAGTCAGACTGTGACTGATTCAAATGGTGAAAATGGCATTGATTTCAAACTGTTTATGGCTCTTTATACATGGCTATACAAATTGAGGATTTGAAGACTTCAGAACCTTGCTGGCCTTATTATTCTTCCACGTGAAGCCTCCAGAGCTTCACAATGTGCTGCTTAACACAACAGCACATGAATGCTCAGCCTTGAATGAACAGGAATGCATTTTATACCAGCCTGCTAGAATTTATTTCCACATGAAGAGAAAAAAGCCAGCCTGAGACTATGTTAAAAATCTTTGCAGTATATGAAAACATAATTGGGATGGATTTTAAATACTTCTGCCCCGCAGTAGCGACAAAAGAGAGATCATTAGTTAATTTGCAGGCTAAGGAGGGAAGGAACAATTACCTCATCTATGAGTACCACTGAGTTCCCAGAGAATTATTTCTTTACTGGGATACTACAGTCTGAAAGTTTTCCTTAGAATAGTAACTTCCAGCTAAGTGCTGTCAGTAGATGGCTGGGAAAAAGCGCATCTAACAAAAAAAGGAGAGACAAAAAAATATTCCAGAGCCTGCATTTTCTTATTAGGAACACCCGCCAGGACCAGACTTTTGGCTACCATAACACATACAAAGTTACAGTACAGGAGGACATGTTGCAGACTGAAGAGGTAAGATAAGAAGGTCTACAGACAGAGGAACAGGCACAGATAACAAGACAGCATCCAGGGAACTCGTACTGCTAAACTGGTCTGGATGGGAGAAAACAGCATCGTGTATCACTGGTGTTGGGATGGTCAGCAAAGTGACCTCCTTTGGAACTCTGCAAGGGATTTTCAGTGTGGTATTTGGTAAATGGTGCTGGTAAACACAACACATGAGCCCTGAAGGTGTTCAATGCCCTGGATGTCACAACTCTCTCACACTCAGCCAGCCTGCAGCTGGACCAACAGTGTGCAACCAAAGAGTCATTTGGCAAATGTATTCTTTTGTCTGCCTGCAAACAGCGTTTGAACTGCCTGTAAAATATTCACAAACACTTTGAGGGTCTTGAAATAATCAAGGCACGTCGTGCCGAGGGATTTCAGACTTGTGAATTATTTACAAACTGTTCACAGTTATGAGTATTATTTAGAATAGCTAAAATTCTTAATTTCTCAAATCTGACAGCCATACAGTTCCATACCTGCTTGTGATTATGCCTGGAAAAGCTGCAGAGCTGTACGAAAGATTTTGGAGAAAAAACAGCCACAAAAAATATGCAAAGAGGTTGTGAAAGGATTTTGGTTTTCTTCTACACTGAAGATTGACCTTGCTTTCAAAGGCCAATCTTACTTTCAGGGAAGGTTCAGCTAACCTTCCCGAAATATGTGACTCGATTTAAAGTCTTCCAGAACACAGGTTTAATTCAAACGTCCTGAGTTTAACAGATATACCTGGTCTGTATTGGTAAATTAAACAGAGCCTGGGCACAGGCCAGGAAAACTGGGAAACAATGGCAGAGCTGCAGCACAGCACAGCCAGAGCTTTTCCAGACAATGGCTCTGTTTAGAAGTCAGTACAGGGACCATTCCTATCAGCCCCAGTCATTTGAGGACTAACAGAGCTGGCCCTGGCACTATTTATTTCACTAGTACAGACGTAGCCATGGAGTCTCTGAAAACAGAGGGGGCCAGCAGAAGCACGAGGTCTCTCTTATCTACTCTACTGCCACGAGCTGTTGAGCTCCTGCATGTTTTGCTGACATTGAGCTGCTTCCAACCTACAAGACTTCAGCATCCTGACAGGAATAATACATTTACAGAGAGTGTGGGTCTCACTCAGAGGTTTGGGACACCAAGATAAGTTCACAGGAATGGCAGAAGGTGGTGGAATTTGCACTGAAGTTCACCAAGGTGTCCAACACGAGTATGGGCCCCACGGTTCCACTTAAGATTTGAAAATCCAAACCCATCAAAATTGGTGACAAAATTCACATCAGCTTGGAACCAGAATTCCCCCTACCAAATTTACACAGCTGAGATACACAAAACAACAGTTTCATTGATGTTTAGATGAAGTAGCTATTGATTCCCATGTTGTGCATGTGGACTTTAGGATGAGAACAGAACTACCTGGCATAATTAGATCTGCAGGATTACAAGGTCATCTGTATGTTTCAGGAGGGTTCTACACAGTGCAGACAAAATGACTCCTGCTGTATGAGGCAGTCACAAGTGTTTTAACACAGTACCCCAGGCTTTGATCTCTGGACAACTCTTGCACTCCATCAGGCTTTAACAATCACTTTAGGGACAAATTCTGCTTTCACAATTTAAGAAAAAAATGAGCCTTGGAGTGCTTTGATTTTTATATTCACAGGAGGTAGATCAAACAGGTAATGAGCAGAGTTAGTATTCTGAATATCACAAATACCAAGGATTTAAAAGACACTGCAAAATAATGGTTTTTTTCAACCGTTCAGTGACAGCTTGAACATGCCTAACTGCGTGTGCTATTCAGGGATGCTTCCAAATAGGACCAGAGGTTTAGTGCAGACTCAGAATCTGCCTTTTCCTCCTATCATTACAGTTTTCAGATATGAGACCAGCTCGACAAGTAAAGCACCAGAATTCTAAATTCAGACAGAAACAAAAATAATTACTTGAATCACTTTAGGTTTGCTTTAAAAAAGTATCCATATTAAAAAGATGTCTTTACCTTATTAATACATTTACAGACTTTTGGCCAGAAGGGGTAATTCTGTGGAAAAGAATTGCAAAATAATATATAGAAAATTCCGCAAAGATGAAACTCTAGATTTAAAAAGATGAGAGAATCCTATTGTCATTGCATTCCTCATTTTGCATCTCATTACCTTGTCAACTAGAGAGGACATTATACTATTCTGGCTACCAGGACTTATATCCCAGCAACCTTATCCCGAAATTGGTTTTCATAAGGAAAGCTCCTGCAGGCAGGTTTTTTTATTACAGTTACACTGCCTCGGTTTTGATACTCTGTGGTGTAAAATTCCCTTCTAGTTCTTCTTCCTAGTTAAAGCTAGAAAGTGTAATGAAAACATGACCCAACCCAACTGGACTGATTGGCTTAACACTGTATGTCCACTATCCCATTGTGGCTCTCCATGGGCTCGGTCAGAACAGCATCTGGCTGGGCACTGGGGACCAGCCTGCCACAGTGAGACAATGTCAAGTGCCCTCTATTGCATGTCTAAAGATCTCCCTACTGCATTGGTTCAGCTGCTTCTCCTTTACCTCTCCGCTCGGATTTTGTATCTGAGAACGAAATAGGCAATCAGGCGCAGAGAGAAGAAGAAAATTCCGAGAACAATGAAGTCCAGGTAAAGTTTGGCATTTTCTACATCCAGTTCTCTCAGGATGGCCTCTGATTTTTGAAAATGGCAAGTGTCGTCTTTGTCACAATGCAGATCTTCCCGATCCAGTCCATAGATGGAGAGAATAACTCCTTCGAACCCGTACCTGGAAAGAAGAAGGATGATGGATTACAAGGAAAAGTCCAGGTGATCTGTTCAGAAACACTCCAGCAACACAATCCCTGTGAGGGCTCAGCTGAAACACTGGGGGGTTCAATACCATTCTGACACATGTCTTGGAGCAAAGTTCTATCCCTGTTACAATCAAGCACATGACACGTCACTGGCACTTTATGTAAGATGGAACAAGGACATAAATTGTGGCTTTAAATGCTTCAAATCTGTGTATGGTGCAATTTCTCCAAAGAAAAACGTTAAAACAGGAAGCAGCCCAATTTCAGCTCATAGCCCGAAGTTTCCTTTTTAAATGTGACATCACTAACTTACTTTCCTTTTTAAATAAGTGACAAGGATACAATTATGGTTCAAAGTCAGAAATATTAAAACCAGCATCAATCTGGAACGTGTCTTCTGTTTCCCTCCATGCACTGATGGTTCCACTAACAATGTTTTCACGTCTCCCCTGGTACTGGGTGCACCCAGCATTTGATTTTTCCAAGCAGATAAGCCCATGATGGATCCCATGCACATGATAGCCCCCTCCAGCTTCAGGAGCCCCCACATGGGCCTGAGGCCTCACCTTGAATTCTAGGTGTTAATTGGGGGGTGCAGTCTCCTTACCTTTGATAGGTGTCTGTGTAAGACCTCACTTGCCAAATGAGAGGGTATTTTTGCTTGGGTTTTCCCAGTAGTAGTGCAGTTTGGGCAGAGTGAGGAAGAGGGAGGTGGGAAAATCCACCCCTGCTAATTACAGCCGTAAACATTTCAGTGTCTAGTCTAAACTACCCATGCCAAGCTCCAGAGGTTTCCTGATGAGAATTGTCCCATCTTAGGATAGCTGTGTCAGATAGTGAGAGTGACAGACATAGATGGGATATAAGGTGCCTATGGATCTTAAAACACAAGTTTAAATTACAGGTGACACAAATCCCATGTCTCTTGTGGCAGTGCTACTGGAAAACTCAAAAACATAGTCTATCTAGGATACAACAGTCATTCATACAACATTTTCTTCCAACATGAGGGGCTGGCATCAATTTCTCAGTTGGGGGAACTGTCCCCATTATTTCAGAAATCCACTGTTGCAAAATCCAGGAAGAATCCCACTGACTTCAAAGGGACTGACATGGACTTGTGGCCAATAACCTGCTCCTTTTTATTTTACAACACATACAACGTAAAATGCAGTGACATGATGTGGTTTACATCATATGTATGTTTATACTCTTGAAAGAACATGCTGTGAACAGTCTCTCTGGCACCCAAAATAACCAACCAACCAACCAAGCAAAGGCAGGCAAAGGAAAGCATTTCCAGATGGGAGGTTGAAGGCCTCCCTAGCAGTACCTGACATAGGAAATGTAGGACATCCACTGGAGGTATGTTGGGATGGTATCAAAGCTGACAAAAAACCCAGAGAAGAGAAGAACTGGGATGGCAGTAACTGGGCCCACAAATGTTGCCACCTGTGAAGAAAACAAATGGACAGTTTCTCATCATAAAGGGAGCGGAAAAAAATAAAAATTAACTTGCTTTTTTCATTACTCTTGCAAGTAATGCTACTACCCAAAATTATCACAGTTCTGAATACAAGAAAATTACTGATTTCTTTTTTCTTATCAAATTTCTTGTGAGGAGGAGGTGCTGTTAGTGGAGGAAAAGGGGTCCCTCTCCTCTTCCTAAACCCTTTTACTCATTGACAGCACTGTTGTGCTGGGATCTGTCCTTCGAAGGACATGAACCCACCAAGAAGTTTACAGAGCCAGAGGAGCACTGGGATTCCTTTGCTTCTCTGGGTATAAGACCCCTCTTCTAAATATTATCTTTTTTCCCCTCACTCTCCTCTAAGGACACACAGATTTCCTTCCTCACTAAATCCCACAAAAACAGTAGCTTCAGCTGGTCCTAAAACATTGTGAAGAGGATAAGGAACATCTCCAGCTGGGTGGCTTTGGTGGGGATGACAGAGCTGGACCCAGCTCCAGCCTGTCCTCTCTATATTCCCTTGAGGGCAAAGACCCATGCAGGAATCTCTGGGAAGAGGAGAAGCACAGGGATCACACAACAGGGCTATGCTGGTCTCCACAGGGTGGGCACAGAGAGGGAATCAAGTCTTCTACTGCAGAAATCTCCATATCCTCAATGCATATTGAAGTCAGTATCATCTGTTATCACCCAGAACAGCTCTGCTGTGGAATGGTCACCTCAGCACATCTCCTGACAAGAAGCAGAATGGAGTTACACAGCCAGCTTCCAGTCATGCCAACAGCTGCTTCTCTCCCTCCCTCTGCAGAAGTTTGGTTTCTGGGCAAGCCTTTTCCTACCTTGCCTCCTGCAACCCTTTTTGATGTGTATGAAGAACCTTCTCCTGAGATATTGATCCTACCTCCACTTTGTAGGGGCACAGAAGTGCACCAGTCCTGCAGTTTCCAGGACCTGGGATGAATAGGAAATGACAATCCCCTCAAGCAGGGACAGGCACAGCCCTGTTCAGGTGGGGAAGGAACTTCAGAGCCTCACATGTTTAAGTTGATGCTAATGGGAAACATCAAGAGCTCCATCAGATCAAGACAACTTTTTGCCTGTCACCTCTCAACAAATATCTTGGGGACACAGCAGCAGCCACAGCAAGTAGTGTAAGGAGACAGCAGGGTTCCTGTGAGACCACAAAACACCATCAGTACCTGGAGGGATGTAGAGGCTGCACCTATGAGAAGGCCCAGGGACTGAGCCACCAGGGATGTCATGGTTCCCAAGGCTGCAAAGAGGACAAATCTGAGAGCATCAGATGGCTGTGAAGTCATCCAGTACACAATGCTGCAGTAAGCCACAGGGAACATGATCTGCAGGGAGATACACTTGGAGTTAGTCCACTAAAGCCAAACATTTACTGTTACTCTGAGTAAGACAAAAACATGGGGAGTTCTAATTAACCCACAGGTCTGTCTTTCCATTACACGACATGGCTGAAGAGAGTCTGCCACAGACTGTGATATCTATCTTACTTGGGCATTAGAAAACAGATCCCACTCACAGCCCTTCTCAATCCCCCTTCTGCAAAAAAAGCAGAGATGGTCATCTATTTATGAAAAGAGTATTGGGTCAGGTCTCAGCTTTTGTGAAGTCCTGCACTCTTAAGGTGCTTCTGATTTGGCCCTGAAGCTTCAGCAGACATGTATAGACAGTTAGTTTGTCCACTATTCAGATGGATAAAATACCAGTACTAATCTTCCTGGCAAGTGGGCTTGTCATGAACTTAAATGGTTCTTACTATATTGAAGAGTAGAGCATATACCTGAAAAGGAACATCAGCCATGGTTTTGGCGAGGTAATAGGCTTTCAGGCTGTACCAGTAGTTCAGATGCTCTCTGAGAAACACTCCCATCTCAAGGGGAACTGCAGAGGACACAAATTATTAAGTTGGATTGCCAGTGTGCAGTATTGCTGCACATAACAGCACGGTTTATCCATATCTAATCCTGCACTGCTGCAGTCCCATGGTGGGACTGGAACTCTCAGGTCTCTGACAGAGCAGCAACAGTTCCAGTGACTTCTAATGAAATGTAAGTGAGCCCTGAGAGTTGCTCACTGTTTAGACTACAGACCAGTCTACTCAGTTATCTGAACCTCCCTTAAAGAGGATTTTTCAATTAAAAGTGATGTCAAAAACTTAAATAACTTGGTTATTCCTTTTTGGTCTAACAGGGAATCCAAAGTAACAGCACTCCCAAAGGAAGTCCTCTGCTCCCAAGCAGCCCATACTGCAAGAGTTTGCTTCTGACACCACACAATTACGCTGATTTTATGGAGAAGTCACGACTCAGGAGTCCTAAAGAAATTATTACATCCTCCCCAAGACCAGTCACAAGCTCATCTCACTGGTTGAGATGCACTTGGCACAAGGGGAAATTCCAGCCCAGGACTGTGACAGTGAACTAACTGTCTGTGTTGAGAAACACTAACAAAAGCAGGGAGAGAGAAGTGCCACTGGCAAAGCTTTTCTCAGCTTGCAGCAGTGCCTCTGTGGGTGCAAGATTTATCCCAGCACCTGTCTTAGAAGTAGAAGCACAAGTCAAATGTTCTCTTACACAAAACAGATCCATCCAAACACCCTCCCACCTTTCTGCAACTCCTTCCCCTTCGATGTAACAGAATTACTGGTACTCACAGGTGAGGACAGTTGGCATGAGCGCAGCAAACATGAGAAACAACATGGAAAAAAAGAGGAAGCCGGAGTTGCTGAGGACTTTTTTAGCTTCGTTGCCAATGCCCAGGTAGAGCAACCCGATGAGCAGCCCGATGCCAATGTGTGAGGTGATACGCAGGTGTGTCAGGACCTACGAGCAAGGAAAGAGGGGTATTTCTGATCCGAGAGTCTGGGCTCAAAAACAATGGCAACGTGGCTGAAATCAGATATACAGGCTGCAGAAAAGGAGTACTTATGTCCAGAAGAACTTGCACAGAAATTGTAGAATGGTTTGGGTTGGAAGGGACCTTGAAAATCACCTGGTTCCAACCCCCCTGCCATGAAAAATGTTCATTTCCTACTGGTAAACTGGGCTTCAGCCAAGAAAAATTATGAGTTTCCCAGTTTCCATCCGACACATGAACATTTCTTCCAGTAAATACAGGCAGAAACTGCAAATGCTGCAACCTGAAATCTTACTCTGACAATGTCACTGGTTCTCATTGATCAGGAGAAGGAGACTTTCTCTTTGACTAAAATATAAATTTCCCAGGGCAGAAGAGAAGCAGAAAGGTATTTCAGGCTTGTATAGACAAAACTAACTTCACCAGGCATACATTAGCTTTCTGTGCCTTCTCTGCAATACAGTATTCCTACAAGAGGCTTGGAAGAACAAAAGAAATAACAAAATCTGTAGCTGCAAGCCTTTAGACCTGAGTAGGAAAAAAAAAAATCTTAAAAACAACAATGTTCTTCAATCTATGCATCAGAAAATAAGTTACAGTTTCCCATGATCTTAATTCATTAACTTTAGGAATTCTTGTTGACAAATGCAAAGTAAATTGCAAATGTAAGTGTAAAACAGTGAGAGAGAACAAGTTATGGCAAAGAAACGTGCTGGCAAAACAGCTAGGCACTCAAAACATTTACTGAACAGATACAAACACTGCAGAGTTTGGGATTTTGATGGACGTTGTTTATTTTAAGAAAAAAGGTGGAAGATATGCTTCTTTTTTTCCCTTGGGAATGAAGAATTTCATTATGACACTTAGTTCATCTTGATATTAAATGTATGAAAACAGAAATGTTCCCTTTTCAGGGAAGAAAAATTTTTATCTCCCAGTTGTCTGTTTCCAAGAATAGACTTCAAGTATTAACTCTTTACATCACACTGAAGTTATTATTTCTGTCACCCTGAATTTTCTGGAAAACCTAATTCTGTGACACACTAGTACAACCTCTCATTCACTTTTCAGTAGGATTAATAGCTGTATAAGGAACCTGCCAGCACAAAGGGGATTTAAGCTTCAGGTTTTTAGGCCAGGTGCTTCTGAGTGCTGTGAAGAAAGCTGTTGTTCACAATGAAAATGGTACAGTTAACAGCAAGAGTGAAAGATCAGTCTCTTTCCTTTGAAATTCTGTGATAATCTTCATGGATGGGCTGTTGGACATGACCTTTGAGGACTATTACAGTATCTCACACCCAACTGAATAAACCTTTTGGCTACAAACATTATTATAAAGGCATTCTTACCGAATCCCTCATGATGGTGAGAAAAGTTCTTTTGAAGAGGATGCAGAACTGGGTTAGGCAGCTGGCAGAGAAGCTGTGGCAGCCTTCTGTGGAGGAGGAATCCTGCAGGAACACATCACAGGATAAACTTCTTTCTTTGCAGTACCTTGCTTAGTTCTCATTCACAAAACCCCACTCGCACCCTCTGAACGTGCCCAGAAACCTCCGCTGGCCAAGGTTTTAAACTCCCTTCCTTCCCCTCCAGCCTCCAGCCACGTCCAGTAGTTGTGATGCACAAAATACCTCCTCGGAAGGCCGGTGCCAGAGGAAGGGGTTCAGCTCGTTCTCACCACCCACATCCCTCTTGTAGTCGGTGTCACAAATCCTCTCCCGCACGGCCCTGACCAGCCGGCTGTTCTGGTCCCCGTATTCGCCAGATGCCACTTCCATGACTACAAGAAACAGAGCTTAAGTTGCTGGTTTGCACCACTGACAAGCTACAAGCTTTGTTATTGATTCTGCAGCACTGACAGAAACAGAAGTTTGGCCTAGAGCAGGCCCTAAAGCGCCACATGCAAATTCCCACGTATACACGCAACATTTAAAACATCTTTCTATAAATCTTCAGAGAGGTCTCTTCATCCTGGAAGTTAAATGAGCCATTTTAGAAGATAGTCCTGGTAATAAAAAAAAATTACAGAAGTCTATTTTTGTGGTCTTTACTGCTTTTTTGGAATTAAGAAACAACACTGAATAAAACTCTCAGCGTTATGAACTCTACAATACCACAGTGGAATTGTTCAAGATTAAGAACAACAGAATACTGGAGCCACTTTGAAAAACTACTAATTACTATGAAACACTAAAGAATATGCTTTATCTTTCATCTCCTGAACCTGGACTTCCACCAGAGAGAAATATTCACTAAATTGCACCACTAGATGGCATTCAAATTACTTAGGAAAAAAATCTGAATAATTTTATTTTGAATTTTGGTACATATATGTACAGGTGCACATAAGAATATACATGCAAAAGTGTACCACACACCATGGTCCCCATTACCCTGAAAGTACTAATCTAACACAAACTAATTTAAATGAACTATTCAAATTGTCCTTACCAAAATCTGCTGGATTGTGGTAGGTTGGGCAATTCAAACCCAAATCTCTCAAGTAAGGGACTAGGTTTGTTACCTTCCCACGGTAAATGCATTGACCTTGACTTAAAACATAGAGCTGGAAAACAAGGCAAAGAAAAAGAAAAGGAAGAAAGAAAAACGTGAAATAGTATCAAAATATTTGAACCTGCTACCTGTGTGACACCAATCCATGAGCCTAATGATGTCTTCTTGTCCGTGGGGGAAGAACACCTTGGGAAGATTTGTCACCACTTGAAACTAATTTCTGTATGAAATTATAACTAGTGGAAAATTAAATGCTTAAGGTTTGAGTTCTGCAAACATTCCCTCCAGGACTTGAAGCACATTAATATAGAACCACACTAATTCCAGCCTCAGACATATGCTGAAAATAGGCAAGAAACTGTAGAGTCAAGCCATTTAATTTCTATTTAATTATGGATATTTTGGGCTGGGAGATGAGGCTGGTGAATGCAGTAATGGAAAGAGAGGTGGGACAGTACAGCAATGGGAAACAGCTTGATTAGTCTTACTTTTAGCCATACTATTGGCTTTAAATAAACCTCCCTGGCAATCTGCAAGAGCTTCTTCACCTGTGGTGTAGTAGGTTTTCTCTCACCTCTCAGGGGTCTAATCTAAATCTCCTAACAAGACTAAAGTAAATTTATATCTAGTCTAAACACACATGGTCCACATCCCATTGTTAGGTTGGAGAAAAGTTCTCCAACTGACTTCATTTCAATTATTATCATTTCATGTGAATAAGCTCTTCTGAATCTATACCCATGTATCAAGGATGAGAATATCTACCAGCAACATTGCAGACACTGACATTAAACCTTTCCTGCTTTTATATTATTCCAATTTACTTTACTGACAGCCCTCTGCACAGGAGCAGTGGTGAGTGAAGGCATGATAATCACAAGCACAATAATCATGATTTCACAAACATACCAAAAAGATTCTCTAAAAATATTACATGCAAATAATGGAAACAGGCAGACAGAAAGGAAAAAAACATATCCAAAAAGTATATTTTGCTCTTATTTAATTTCTTCATTTGATTTGTTGCCACAGACCAAAATAATTCACGTTTTCACTTAAAGAGTGTAGCCTTGAAAGTATAATTTACCTAAACCATGCATAGGGAGGAAGTTTGAGAATAATACCTGATCAAACAGCTCGAACAGTTTTGCACTGGGCTGGTGAATGGTGCAGATGATGGACCTGCCACCCTGGGCTAAAGCCTTCATCAGAGAGACAACCTGAAAACATGATGCACTGTCCAAGCCACTGAATAAAAAGAAAGAAGTTTGTTATCCACAGGTCCATAGGCAACACTCAAAACCAGCACGTGGATTTGCTGCTTGGCCTCTCATTATTATCCTTTTACAAATTTTCTCTGTAGCAGTTTAATTTTATCATATGCCAACCTTATGCTTGTATTTCTCCATCGGTCTTTTAATTAAGTTGGAAGCATGCCTGAGAATGAAAAACAGAGTATTCTCAAAGCTGCCTTAAGGGACTTCTTACATTTTAAGACTGCAGATTTAAATTCTCCCAACTTTAATGAATAGATACATATTTATAGCTTTCCCAGCCTCCTCAAAGACTGATCACATTCATTACTAAGAGTCACATCTTAAAATGTTTATATTCAAGCTACCTTTGCTTGAAAAAGAAAATTCGTGCCACAATCTGAAAACATTTTCCTCTCTCCCTTCCTGCTTCAGCTTGTGTCTCCTTTAAATATTATTTATAGTCCCATGGTCTGGCAGTTACAGCAGTGACCCAAGGCACTAAGTACCCAAATCAAATTATTTCTTGTGGCCTTATTCAGTGCTTACAGGCAACACAAAATGAGCCTTTTCCAAGGACTTAGAGGTGAACAGCTTTTCTGTAGGGCTGTTCTGCTATATAAACCAATATTTGCCTTTCTTTAATTTCTGGCCTTGAAGTACCTGGTTGGTTCATCAAAAAACATGACAGGGGGGTTGTTCACCAGCTCCAAAGCAATGGCAAGACGCTTTCTCTGGCCTCCAGAAAGGCTCCCAGTCCTCGTGTTGGCACAGGTCAGCAAACCGAGGGCTGTTAGTATTTCCTTTACCTGCAGGAAACAAAAAAGAGCCTCTTTACTGATCTTCATGCAGATTGCAAACTAGCTCATAACTTTGTTTCATCATCCGTGCACCGAAGCCTTTTCCCATCTAATGTAGCATTTATTAGTTTCAGTGGGGCTTAACAAATCTATCATTTACTATTTCGACCCAAATTCTACCTGTTTGTCCTACATGACCTCACTACTCAGTAGAGAAGCCTTGCCTGTGAAAATGGAATGGAAATCAGTTCTCCTACTGCTGTATATATATGGATATGGCACTGACATCAAAAGAGCTGTGCAGCATGTGAGGGGTTATTACACAGAGAGACCAAGAAGTTTCTTTCAACAGAACTTCTGGGTTGTATCTACAAGAGACTGGAGAACTGCATAACAAAAGTCAGTGGTTTCTATAGAGCAATGACCTGCTTTATCTAATCTGTTCTTTTCTTCACAGTCTACTCTTTGAAGTGCAGCCATTGATTTTAAGTGTTTTCATGCTCCCCGGAGTCAATTCAGTTGTCACAGGTACTCTCAGATGTTCAGGATTTCCTCAAGGCACAGTCCCAGGAAGGGCACAGCCTGTCCCAGGGTCTTTGGAGCAAAAGGAGAACAATCCCAGACACTATGAATTTTTCTGTTTCAGTGACTGTAGATCTGGCCTGGCAGAGCTATATAAGAAAAGCAGCTCTCTGGCAGCATGCACATAAAAAATGAGTGAATCCAAGGTACACTGCTCATGCAATCGAAAAAGTGAACCACTTCAAAGGTAGGAAGCAAAACCGGGCATTTAACATTTCACTTAAGTATAGGAAAAGGAGCCCATCATTTTGAAAGTGATAATTGCTTGGATGGGGGGAGTTTACCAGAAAGGGTGGCTGACATGCTAAAAAATGGTCTTTGCTTGTCCTGATTTTAATTTCCAGGAGTTACCTCTCTCAGTGAGAGAGAGTGAAAAATGAACACAACCCACTAACTCTTGTTGTCAGAGAGGAGATCCCAACTACCTCATTCCCTTTATCTCTAGGAAAGATGGCACAGGATATGGGCAGCACAAGCTAGGCCAACTAGAAACATAAACTATGGTTCACTGGAGGATTTTTCACTTGTCCCTGTTTTAAACAACTAATCCTGCTAGCACAAGTGCATAAAATTCATAATGTTCATCTACGATAAATATTTACACTAAAATTTACAGAAATAAAATGAATTATCTAGTCCAGCTCAGTCAGTAACACTAACCAGAAAATGTCCTTCTAACATGTGTTGAATAAACACATACAGCACAGTTTTTTTACTCACAGACTTCTTTGCAATTACAGTGACAGTGTAGACAAGTGAATTAACTTGCCTGGCCTAACTTACTAAAGTGTAAATGACTTAAGACTTTCAAAGTACAAATAAAATCAACAGTTGTTTCTGAAAAATTTTTCCCAATGAAAAATCTGTGTCCAGCTTATTTTAAAAAAAAACAGTATTTGACAGAATCCAATCAATCTTGAGCTATCAAGATTCCTGTTAAGTTTCCCTCTGTGGAGCTCTTTCTGATTTTCAAGGATTCTCTCAGTCTGGAGAAATGTCAATTGCTCCAATTTGGAAATAAATACAGACAGAGGACAGCCACAAAAATAGCTGCTCTACCTAGGAAGTCGACACAGTTTTCACATTTCAGGAAAAGCGTGCACTTTTCCCCGTGGATGGTTGAGAGGAGCACACTCCCTAGTGCAGGTCCAGCTGGGTTACAGGTCTCCATGGGCAAAAACATACCAGGACTCCTCTCCCCCTCAGGAAAGCCCTACGTCAGCAGGAGGCAGAAGCAGGGCAGTGCAGCAAATGTGCAGCTCATTCACATGGTTTAGGAAATACATGTGCATGTTTTAGCCTGGTTTTCTGCTTGTCCAACCCACAGTCACCCAACACAGCTCCAAAATACATTAGTTGCAACTGCATTAACTTGCCCAGTGTGACGACATGCCCACCAGCACAGCCATAAAGATCTGCTCTTTCAACCATGAGCACAGAGATTTCTGCAGCACTTACAAGAACTGCTGAGCTTTTTATCAGTCCTTGGAAAAATTAAGGGCTACACTCACCGTTGCCACACGTGGCTGATGTATCTCACCACACACGAGATGCCTGAGCCCTCAGACACACACATAAGAGAACCTAAGGTGCTAAGGTACATTAGAAGGAATCCTTCAAAACCTGTACATTTATTTCAGTAGATCTTCTACAATTTTCCAGTCTCATACTGAAAGCAACTTTCATGGAGACTGCAGTTAACAATCCCTCCTAATGACACCTGTCAACTTCGAGGTTGTGATTCATTCTGTCATCACAAATCCAGTGCAATTCTATGTCAGATAAAAAATGTCTGCTTTACAGAGCTCACTTCATGGCCTTGGCATCCCCCAAAATTCTAAGTTTGACGGACAGTGTACATACCATTTCTCTCCTCCCTTCATCTTTCTCTTGAAGTTTCAGATGAGCAGATACCTGGAATGCAAAACCAATGCAATTGGATTTTGAACCGGTCTGAAGCACAACCACCAGTTACAGCAGATGTCTCAGGCACAACATCCCAATGTCTAACTTAAACAACTTCTTTAAACCCATTCAGCAAATCTGAAGTTGAACTATAATGTTCAAATCACAAGCATCACATATGCCTGTGCACTAAGTGAGTGTGATTTGACTTAATCAATCACTGGAGCACCTGACAAAAAACATATTAGAAAGGCCACTCTGACAGTCAAAGAGCTTGAGAAGAAGATGAAAGAGTCATGTTTTTTGCACAGCCAGTAAATTCTCAGGCAACACTGGAAAAAAACAGTTTATTTGTGCTTCATCCATATCACAAGGATAACTGAACTCTGCCATTCTCTAGGATGCAAACAAACAAGCACAGAAATAAATAATCTTGTGAAAGATGTCATCTGCTGTCCTGAGAGGCAGCTCCGCAAAACATCATGATTAACCTTTATTAAAAGCAATTAAACTGCTAGGTAATTATTTTTGTCAGAGCTTTGATTGATTAATTTAGACAGCAAGTATAATCTGGGCCCAATTCTATGAAAGTGGTCCTGTGGGATTCTGACTACAATGTTCAAGTAAACAAAAGAGAAGAAAAACTTCCTCACAGAAAAGAACTTTTGTAGAAAAATTAGCTACAAAAAAAACTACAGTGATTTTTTTTCTGGCCTTAAAATTTGTGAATTGATGCCAGCATACAGTGTGAGCATCCTTAGCCTTGTATTGGGAACAACCTCTGAGAAAAACTGGCTCATTTCTCAGGCTGAGTAACAGGCACTTCTAGACTAACTGGTCAAGTTGGCAATTTGCAAACTTCTTAATGCCATGAAAAAGAGTAAGAAGAATTTATGTTGCCTGTATATGTTGGAATTATTCTGTTCCTGTTGTTTTCCCACGAAGAAATGAAAGAGATTTTATACAATTCCTTTATTAAAGAAAAGGTACAAAAGAGTAGAAAGCACAGAGAGATCATGCTAAAGTAAAATAACAATTAGCAGTCAGAACATGGAAGATGGGGAGAAAGAGAGAGACAAGGTTACTCATCAGGTAAGAACAGATCGTCCCTACAAAGATGCATTTGTGAAGAATTTCAGGTTCCGTTCTCTAGGAGGTCTGAGAAGAGCCTTAGATCTTCTTCTAAATCACAATGCTGGTTGCAAATTGAAAGTCACAAAGCTAAAAAAGCTCGCACAACCCTTAGAAGAATGAGCCTGAAGCGGAATTCAAGGCAACACTAAAGTCCAAGCACTTTCACCGAGCAGGATCAAACACAACTCTGTGGTGTTGCCAGAGTGAGAACACGTGCACAACACACAGAGATTTTTTTTTTTTCCATTTTCTCCTGCTCAGATAAATTAGAACAAGAAAAAAACCTCACCATCATAGCTTCCTGGACGGTCAGGTGAGGAAGGAGCATGTCATCCTGCATGATGTAGCAGGAGACTTTGCGGAAAGAGCGCAGGTCCCGGGGCTGCCCATTGATGAGGATTTCCCCTTTCATTCCCGTCTCTCTGAAACCAACCAAGAAAACAATCAGAGGTGAATCCTGCCTTCCCTTGTGCTGCCAGAGGCCTCAGTGTGTGGAAGTCTTAGCTAATGATTGCCACCATGAAATAAAACCGATGCAGTGGCTAGAAATCATTTCATTTCCTGATCGTGCTCTCTTTCATACAAGGCTTCTTGCAATGCTGCTGAAAATTTTACTCAAGGTTAGTGCAAAATGTGTGCTGTCCTATATCAGTGCCTAAAAAAATATCAAAACATTAAAAACAGGGTTTTTTTAGGTTTCTCTATCCTGTTCCTTATGCCCCAAATGACAACAACACGGAGACACTGTGTTTGGCCATACAGGAGGGGATTCAGGAGGGTGAATCACTTCAGTCATTGCAGTTTGGTCAAGGAGACATCAACACTATGAAGTGGTGACTAAAGAGAGTAATTTCTTCAAGTGTTTATAAAATGTGATTTAAAAACCACCACAAACATAAGACACTGAGTCAGATTTGTTACACAGCCAAAAAGGAGATTTTTAATTTATTTTTGTGTGTGTGTGTGTGTGTTTTGGATTTTAAATTGCTTCTTATTTTTGGATCTCACTTGTTAAGAGATAAATTCCCAAGGGAACAGAATGGGATAAACAGAAACAATATAAGCAGTAAGAATCTAATCCAAAATCTGTGAAATACCTATTTTCTACAAACACTGGGGTAATATTTCCTCTGCTTATCTGAACTTGGGATTTTCAATGTTACCCACCTGTATCCTGCCAGAATGTTCATAAGCGTTGACTTCCCAGCTCCTGAAGGACCCATAATTGCAACAAGTTCTCCACTGCTGAACTTCCCTGAAATTCCTTTCAAAAGGGTCTTATAACCTGGAAGAAGAAAGAAAAGTTCACCCATCACGTGAACAATCACATCTGGGGAGCAATGACAGTTCATTTCCACTGAATGCTGGTGACAAACAGGCATTAGCAGGCACCTGCTCAGAGGTTGATGCCTGAGATCAGCACACTGCAAGAACTGTCAAAAATATCTATCAAAAGCCAAATTATGAGTGGGAGCAGCAGACTCCTCCTGCAACACAAGTAGTATGGTGGGATTACAGGATCACAGGCTCTTGGTTCACTCCAGGAAGACTTTTAAACAGGGCTATGAAACCTTGCTGCCATTTTCTAAGTGTCTTCTAACAATATTTTACTAGAATGCTGTGAAAATATCTAATATTCCAAAGCTAGCATAACTCCAGAGCCTTGGAGCAGACTGCCCTCCAACCACTGCAGCTTCAATACCAAAATTCTTCACCAAAACAACAACTTCTTAGAGAAAGCAATAGCCAAGACCTCAAAGGCAAAGCCCTTTGCCTTTGTTCATTCCCCACTAAAAGAGGCATGACAAGAAATGCAGCAAAAGGAGACACACAAACCTGTTCCAATATCTTACCACAAGGACTCTCTTATCCTAAGAACTCCAAAAGCTTGTCTAGACAGGGAGACTGACCACAGTAACTCTGTAAAAACAACTCCTAGGGAAATACTTACTCTGGATTAAGAACACGCAGGTTTTTTTCTCATTTAAATTAATCCACTCCAGAACGTCATGCCACGATAATTACATCCTCAGGCAAAGATGTTCTAGGATAACACCTCCTTCAACTTATCCCTGAGTGAATTACCTTTGTCAATAAACCTTTTATTTAAAGCCTAAACTCCGTGTTGCTCTAGGTGTAAGTAAACTGGGCTCCAGTGAGAATTCCAGATTTGGACTAGTTGCATCCACCTTGCCCTGCATGATTCCCATGTTAAGGCATAAGAACTCTGTGGGGAGGGTGGAGAGAGCCCTGACCAGCATTTAATTTTTAAGGAACTCTTCCCCTTTTATTTTATTTTTTTTTTGCTTGCTTACTTCATTTTAATTACAAGCACTTTTAGTGAAAACTTTTAATAATAAAAGAGTTAAGTAAGGTGTCAAAAAACAACCTCCAATGCTGAAAATGTTCCTGTAGTTAAATTAAAACCGAAACAGAAGGGTGGAAAATCCATTTACATGCAGTGTTAGGATTTGACAATACATTTTGCCACACTGGTGCATATGCAGGCAGAATTTATATTTCACATGTAAACTATCCCAGTCCTTTGATTATCTCTAGCACAGGTTGTAGCTGGAACACTGAAATGCTGTAAAAAAAAAAAAAACAACCTCATTGTCTGCAAGCTCCTAGAAAAAAGAATGGTGGATTATCTTCTTCTGGTTTATATTTCTTCCTAACTCCATGATTTGTTTTCCTTTCATCTCCACTTAGCATTCTCTTCAAATATTCTTCTTTTCTCTAGCCTGAGCTCATACTCCTTCCATGCCACAGAGAGCAAATTTTGCACTAAAAACATTGTCATGCTGCCATGGGGTCTCCCAAATCCACAGCAAATACCCTTCCTTGAGCATCCCCCAGCCCAGGGGGGAAACAGGAGCCACAGAAACTCCCTAGAAATATCTGATCCTACTGTTTTCATGGCAAATGTCTTAGAAAAAATAACTGACTAAATGTCTCAAAATAGCCATTTTCTTGAGTGCCATTTTTTAAACAGGCCAGTAAATTTTCACAATAAATCCTCTCCTGGACCCAAAGAAAACAACTTGTTTGGAAGCTACGAGGTAGGACGGGTATGAAAATAGCAGTGCACTCATGTTGCCTGTTCATGGCACAAGTTCTAAGAACAAAAGCAAGGACAGTCTATCAAAAGGAACAGCTATTTCAAGAGAGAAATTCAAGGCACCCTGGCAAGGCCAACAGGCTTGTCCTTCACACCAATGTCACCATCCAAATCAGCATCTGAAGGGCAAGTGCAAGGACAGGCCAGACCTTTCAGGCATGACAATATTTAATAAATAGGATCTAGAGAGACAAAGTCCTTCATTCTATCCCTCTCGTTACAGAGAACCAGCTCCCTCCCAAGCCTATTATTAAACCTGTAAAGGACTCAAACACTAGACTGTACCTCCAATTATTTGTATTATGCACCCACCCATCATGCACACAGGTTATGTGCAGCTGGGAAAGTTTCTCACACTGGTCACAAGCTGGCCAAGGTGCCTTGTCTTGAGTTTCCACTGGGACAGGATTTCTTTCACCAGGTCCCACATGCAGTGCACGGGTTAGGTGTCTGTCTCTATTCCCTGTCTGCCCTGCAAAGCTGTTTAACATGACAGAACATCTCATGCCAACTTCACTACAACAATTTCTATTGCATGGGCTTGTTCTGACCCACATTTACAGGGGAAAGGGTTCTCGTCAGAGTTCTGTAGTAGTCAGCTCACCATGAGTTTCAAGATCAGGACAGTAAATATTTCACAAACTTAACAGGGAGGATAAAAACGTGTACTGCCATAAATGAGAAAGGTGCCACCTAAAAACACACACTCATTGTCTGAAAATGTGTAGTAATGTATACACCATTACCTAAAACTGAAACCTTTCCTCTCACTACATATGATTGTGAGATTTAACATCACATACATTAAACTCATGTTTCCAAACATAATCTCACAAATGATGATCAGTCTACCTTTAATTGTAGTATCTTCCCCCTCATGACCTGCTCTTGTTTCTGCCCCTCTGATGCAGGTTTCCATTTTAAGAATCCTGCACACAACATTAAATCAGAGCAGGGCACATCACAGAATCTCAGAATCGGGTTGAAACAGAACTCCAGGATCATCAAGTCCAAGCTTTTGACTGATCACCACCCTGTCAACTAGACCAGGGCACTAAGCACCACATCCAGTCATTCCTTGAACACCTCCATGGATGGTGACTCCACCACCCCCCAGGGTAGCCCATTCCAATGCCTGACAGCCCTTTCTGTGAAGAAATTCTTCCTAAAATTCTCTGCAAGTCATTTGCAAAACAGTAGAGAAACATGCTTTAAGAAGAAATGAAAAAAAAAATAAATATGAATTTTAGATTAGGATCCCAATCATTGGCATTTTAAGTTGCTACAAACTCAAACCCGTCTCTTCTTTTGACTGGAAGCGCATAAAAAGCTTTTCTATTACAAAGGTTAATTTAGCAAACCCACAGAAAGATTTGACACTGTGGCAGTAGTGTGGTGCCCAGTATAATCCTTTATAAGGAATTAAAGTCCCTAAGTAACTACAGTCTTCTCTTTCAGAATATCGAGGCTAATCTTTAACAGAATCAGTTGACCTAAAACTTCTATATCAGGCCACATGTCTTTCACGAGAAACAGATTATGCATTTGAAGGGGATTGCATTCTTACAGTACAGGGACTGTTTCATGTCCATCTGCCATATATTAGGAATTTCTGGCTACCTCTGATTCCAGACCACCTCGTTTTCCTTAGTTCATGATCCATGCAGGAAGGAGTTTAAGTAACACAGAGTTTAGTGAAAGGCTGAATCTCAAAGCCAACTCACCCCAAAGTGGAAGCACCTTACAGGCCATTCAGGTCCAGCACCACAGCAGCTGTTTCCATTTGGACTGGACTTACATCAAGAGCAAGTTTAGCATCTTGACTTTCAGTTATTTCTCTTAAAACCATTTTGATTTCCAATGGAAAATTTAATCTTTCAATTTTCCAATGTCCCTTCCTGAAGTTATTGTGACATCACCATTAAAAATATATTTAGGGGCTGATAACCCTTGGGAATCCAAATACAAGTTTTCAAGAACTGCTTAAAATACAGATTCATTAACAGGACATTAACACACCATCACCAATCAGAGCAAGTACTCTGAAACTTTCTCGGTCCAACACACTAAAAATTGAATACAAAAGTAAGAAATCAAACCCTAAACAGAAAATTCGAGTGATGCAAAATGTTTTGGTCTTAATTTAACCACACTTTGCATTCCAGAGTTCAAGGTTTTGCTTCTCCTGAGAAGCAAAATGTGTGGTTTTTTTCTCATGTTAGCATTTCCTATGAAGGCAATGTGAGGCACTGTGATATTAGATCATATTTTCAGCCAGAAGCACCTGACTGGCCTGACCAGACCCCACCATTCAGGAGGTGGGTTTCCCTCTCTGCCTGGCAGCACCACAAAACCCACAGGCAGCCCCTTCTTCAACGAGCAGAGGGTGACCTTGTGTCTCTGATGAAGATGCTCCCATTGCTCAGGTCTGCAAAGCTTTTGCTAATGGATTCAGCAAGAGAGAAGTGTGTTGATGGTTTTATTTGCTACCTCCTGGATTTTACCAAGATTTATGGGGAGATCCGGTTTTCCCATTCTCAGAGAAACTATAATCAACCTGGAAAGAATCAAGCAAGCCACCCCCTCCTCATCCTCAGGGTAGGAGCATATGCTTCAGAATGTGTATGAGTCAGCACCAACAAAAACATAACCAAAACTCACTCCTACCTGACAGTGAATTTCCTCAGGTAAACACTGCCTCTAGGTTTTTGACTGAAGTGCTTCATTCATTTGCATTTCATTGCCAGCAACATACTCATTTGTTACTCAGAGAAATGTCACACAGACTCCTAGAAGTTTCTAGGCTTTGTAGCCTAATTCTCCATCCATCAGTAGGCACCAAGGGCCCGTCTCAGGTCCCGGGTGAGCACAGCAGGCTTTCCCTGCTTGCTGCAATTAGAGCAGTGTTTGCCCTTCCCGATGTATTTGAACTGCTTCTCTTTCATCACAAGCTCTTCTGAAGGCAGGAAATCACCGCTGTTGCCCTGCAAGTGCCACTGGCCTGACACAGCTCAAAGGCTTCTCAGAAAATTTACTATAGCAAAAGGTAACATAGGAAATTTCAACTCAAAAAGTTCACGTGTGGCAAAACTATAAAGAACTGAAAACTGAGCCACAAAGAAATCAGCATTTGGTATTTAAAAATCAAAATCAGAGACATCATA